GTTATGTAACGTGAATGCAGGCAGGGGTTATGTAACGTGGATGCAGGCGGGGTTATGTAACGTGGATGCAGGAGGGGTTATGTAACGTGGATGCAGGCGGGGTTATGTAACGTGGATGCAGGAGGGGTTATGTAACGTGGATGCAGGCGGGGTTATGTAACGTGGATGCAGGCGGGGGTTATGTAACGTGGATGCAGGCGGGGTTATGTAACGTGGATGCAGGCGGGGGTTATGTAACGTGGATGCAGGCGGGGTTATGTAACGTGGATGCAGGCGGGGTTATGTAACGTGGGTCGCAGAAAGGTGACGTCTCTCACCTTCTCGTTGACGATCCGAGAGTTCTCGGCGAGTTCCATCTGTGTGAAGGTGTCATTCGGGCTGTTCTGTACATCGCCGGCACTCCTCACTAGCTGCACGGAGGCGGTCCCCAGCTCCTGCACCGTCTGCCTGATCCTCTGTCCAATCTGTATGGATGAGTGGGGGTGAGCGATAACAATTGTAACAGCCCGCTTTTCCATTTATTACCAATTAGTACGACCAGCTTAGCGGTATTTTCCATCTAACCAGACGCGAGAACAGAATAATTCGTGTTGGATATTAGGGATTACCTTTAACGTGGGTCAGTGAATAAAACATACTACGGAGATACAATTCTATGGAGATTCCATGTACGAAAAATAAGTGGCCGCGGTAATGTATTTACAACTGCCATTATTTAAAGCATAACTTAAATATTGAACCACGAATAACATTAAAAATAATTCATATGGGAAGTCTAAACTAGTCTAAAAAAGTTAAACACATGCGAAACGTATGCAACATTGGGATATAGCAGCAATGCTCACGTTGCTGCCGCCACAGTTCCCGATGACGTACGTACCTCTGGGTTGCCGCAGGACACCATGGCACCTCGTGACTCGGTGGCAACGATGTTGTAGTGTGTGGTAATGCTGTGGGACAGAGCACTGAGAGCCCCGGCATCTGTCGTAGACTTACTCGTCTGCAACACAAGAAAACATGAACACGCACGCACATAACCGACAGTACCTACATGCATGCACACAAACACACAGTGTAACCTATAAACATGCATTTACGCACGCAGTGTGGCATATACACATGTACACAAGTGCATATATATAGTGCATAGTGCAACCTATACACATGTATTCAAGCACACAGTGTGTGCATATACAATGTTACACAAGTGCATCAGTGCAACGTTGCCAGTGATATTCAAGCACACAGTGGTTGGCATATACACATGTACACTAAGTAGCATAGTGCAACCTATGAACATGTATTTTACGCACGCAGTTGCGTTATAACATGTACACAAGTGCTAGTGCTACATACGGCGGATGTATTCAAAGCACACAGTGTGGCATAATATACACATGTACACAAGTGCATAGTGCAACGTATGCGCTTGTATTCAAGCACACAGTGTGGCATATACACATGTACACAAGTGCATAGTGCAACGTATGTGCATGTATTCAAGCACACAGTGTGGCATATACACATGTACACAAGTGCATAGTGCAACCTATGAACATGTATTTACGCACGCAGTGCGGCATATACACATGTACACAAGTGCATAGTGCTACATACGCGGATGTATTCAAGCACACAGTGTGGCATAATATACACATGTACACAAGTGCATAGTGCAACATACGCGCATGTATTCAAGCACACAGTGTGGCATATACACATGCACACAAGTGCATAGTGCAACGTATGCGCAGGTTGTTACCAACGTTCTTACCCAACTTTCTAGCATATTTCTGACTTATTAAAAATGCACTCTTTGTGGGTTATTTTGTGATCTTTTAACGCTGAAACCATGAGCACAGGCAGAGGATATCTAAACGAGGATTTCCCCTTTAATACGCAATTAACTACACACGAGGAGTCGCAATAATAATCACAGCTATGTCATAACGCAATTTGCAAATTTGCCACTTTGTGGCGCTCTCACCATTTCGTTGGCTACTCGGGAAATCTCCTTCAGTGCATTTGTCATGTTTGTCTGATAGTCAACAAAGTCTTTATCCTCGGATTCCCGTCTGGCTGGTGCCCTTTCTTCAGTCTGTAAACAGTTATAACACACAATGATATTTCTCTTATAGCTGTGTGTTTGCACATGTGAAATGAGCATATTACAGGTAGTAAGTACAAAAGTACACAGTAGCTAGTACATAAGTACAGGTAGGCATTTAGTAGCAATACATAACAGCAGCTTAAGTGTACCCCCACGGTCAATGACGTACTCAGCAACGATTGGCTGCATCACTAATCACCTTGCTATGTACACTCTCCTATGTTTTTCTCATCTATACGAATAATTCCTCCTACATCACCTCTAACTGATCACGTATGCACTGTGTAGCCCCTACCATTCATGCTGCAGGCTGCCCAGGACAGATCCCGCTGGAAGGACACTATTCGTACAGCCTTACGTCCCATCGGGGGACCAAGAGAATAAGAAGAAGAAGCCCATACCTTAATAATGGCCTTGTTGATCGCCTATGTTACACTCTCCTATGTTTTACCCATGTATAGGAATAATCGCTCATACACCCCCCTAACTCAGGCTTGTACCCGGGATTCGCCTAAGGGGGGGGGGTCCAATTCAGAGGTGTGTGGGTGACTGCGAGCGCCGAAGGCGCAAAGCGATGTTAGGGGGGTCCGGGGCATGCCCCCCACTGGAAAATTTTGAAAAATTGCTTTAAAATGGTGCATTCTGGTGCATTTTAACAGTTTTCTTCTGGATAAAACATACCTAGCCCAACTATAAAATAGGCCTGTCGACTGTATTTATTTTTTGATGGTTGGGGGTTCTGGAATCCCTGGAACCCCCCCCCTTGGGTACGGGACTGTAACCGGTCACTGTGTAGACCATACCTTGATGATGGCCTTGTTAATCTGGTCAAGCATGACAGTGACCGCTCCGGCTTCTGTGGCCGCCTCGTCCAGTGTGTCCAGCAGGTCATTCAGGGATTCCTTCAACCCATCCGCCGCTTCATCGATAGCTTCATGAGCCTGCGTCGCCTGCAGATAATTATATGATTATTATTAATATTATTAATTATTATTATTATATTATTATATTTTTTGTTATTATAATAATTATATTTTATATTATTATATTTGTTTTATTATTTATGATTATTGTTATTATTATTAATTTTTAATTAATTAATTAATATTATTATTCATAATAATAATAATTGTAAGAATACCAATAATAACGATGGCAATAATCATAATAATGATAACGACAGTAAAAATAAGGATGGTGACCAGGGACACAGCTAGAGTCTGGGGTGGGACGGCGCCTCCCCCCTAGACAAATGTAGATACATTACATGGCCAACGGCTAGTCACCTTCCCAGAACACGAGCCACATGTGGGTGTATACTGTATATATGTGCATGCGTGCACAAGATAGGGTTATGTTGTTAGAGTTTTCTTTACGTTGACACAGTGTGTGAATAAAAAGGTGGCTCCTCCGTGTGTACACGTACGCGTACAGAGAGGACCCTCTTACCTTAGGGTTTCCGCCGCCCTCCTTCACCGAGTGCACGAGTTGCAGTGAGCACTCCGCCACAGTCTTTGTTTGCTCCAACAGCGCCATCTGGCGACGAGTGTTCATTGTCTTTGACGCACAGCCAATCGAAGAATCGGCCAGTGGTTCGAGGAAGACGGTCAGCTTGGTCACCTGGTGGTCAGAACGAGAATTAAGCGAGCGGCATAAGTAATGTGCCTCGAGGCTGGGCTGCATGCCTGTGCCTCAATATCGAGTCACAATGTCTTGTAAAGTTTGTGCCATGATTCTGCAGAATGCACATTAACATGAGGAAGATGTATGAATGTATCATATCATGCAGAAAATTATGAAGCTACAAGACTCCAGTGATTGGCAGAAATGTACGCGGACTGTCGATAATGTGTTTTCGAGCCTTATCACTAATTATTTTCATGCCACCTTGGTATTCTATCCGATTAAATTACATTATTCAATTATACAAACAATGTCGCCACTGAACAAACTCCTCTGACACAGACACGACATATTGAATCATCAGAGATATTAACAGAGGCTTCAATCAACGACGAAACACGAGGGTGCACGGTGGGGTGTCATCTGATTGGTCAGTCATGCAAACCTGGGCTTCCGATTGGTCGGTGCCGAGCGAGGCGGCTCCGAACTTGACGACGTCTGCGAGGCGGGTGATCGTGCGGACGGCGGACTGAGCGGCAGCGGCCAGCTGCTCCTGGCTGGACGCTGCGCCAGCCACCAACGTCTTCGTGTCCTCCACGAGTGCCTTAGCCGTCTTCAGAATGTTCTCTCTGCAGGTGAACATGTGAACAGGTGATATACATGTACACAAGTGCATAGTGCAACCTATAAACATGTATTCAAGCACACAGTGTGGATTATACACATGTATACAAGTGCATAGTATAACGTATAAACATGTATTGAAGTACACAGTGTGGCATATACACACGTACACAAGTGCATAGTGCAACGTATGCTCATGTTGTTACCAATGCTCTTACTCAACTTTCTAGCACATTTCTGGCTTCTTAATGAAAGTGTCAATGACACATGGCGGGTGGAGGGGGCTCACATTGACACAGGTATGGGCTCTAATAATAGCAAAAAAGCAGTTCAGTCCTTTGTTAACAGTCAACAAATCCATGTTTAACCCTCCTTTTGAGGGTCAAAAGGTTATCAGACACTTACTCTTCACACGTCAGCGGAAAGTAGATTTCATGGTACTTTCAATAAAGTGATAAAAACGGTAGGTCAGCGCTGAAACAAAAAAGTTTTGCACTCGGTCCGTTGGATCATGTCCTCAGAAAATGTCTGATATCTGACCTTTCCCCCACTGCCCTTTGACCTGTGACCTCCAATTTCGCGATGGTGAACACTATACGTCGAATATTAAGAGTGTAGGTCAAGCCATTGAGATTTGTGCCGCAATTCTGTATTTCCTCCTATACCTTAAGTTAAGGGGGAAATATTCCCCCTCCATTGACACATCTTGCCCTTTGACCCTTGACCCCCAAATTCGACATCCCGAGTCCTTTTCGCGATCCACCCCGACGTCCCGAATATCAAGACCGTACGTCGAGCGGTTAAGATTTGTGCCCAACTGTTGATTGGACGCACAGACGGACGCACGGACGCACGCACGGACGGACACACGGACAATCATGCGATTCTAGAAGCTGCATCTGACTTGGTCAGCTGAGCTAACAATAAAATATTCCAGTCAAATTACTGTAACAAAGAATCTAAAACACAATATTACACGTATATAGGTATGATTGTAGAGTTGTTGACCAGTTAGACGAAATAAACGTAATAGGACGTTGTCATCTCTCCCATAGGAGTAACAACTATTTTGGGGCTAGCCTTACACATTCACATACCAAAATTTAACAAAATCGAATGAATTCAAATGTCCATTTTCATTTTTGCCAAAAAGTTGACGTGGCTCGAAAGTAGGTCGCCTGGCGTGCTCCAAAATAGGACGTCCAAACCTCTCCCATATGAGTAACAACCATATGCAATTTGAAACATGTGGGTCAAACGGTTCTGGAGTTATAGTTGAGGGAATATACGTGTGTAAGAATGTTCTTTGTGAGGGAATATACGTGTGTAGTTAGTGAGAATGTTCTCTGTGAGGGAATATACGTGTGTAGTTAGTGAGAATGTTCTTTGTGAGGGTATATACGTGTGTAGTTAGTGAGAATGTTCTCTGTGAGGGAATATACGTGTGTAGTTAGTGAGAATGTTCTCTGTGAGGGAATATACGTGTGTAGTTAGTGAGAATGTTCTCTGTGAGGGAATATACATGTGTAGTTAGTGAGAATGTTCTCTGTGAGAGTATATACGTGCTGTAGTTTAGCTGAGAATTTCTCTGTGAGGAGAATAAAGGTGCAGATAGTAAGCCAAGAACGATCTCTCTAATATCTGCCGTGGTTACTACCTTGGTGTCAAGCTACCTACGGTCACCACGTTTTTACTGCCGAATCGTCGCCGTGCGTATTACCTGTGCGTCAGAGAAGGCTTCTCGCTCTTTCGTTCTCAGGTGTGAGTGTGCGGCGGTGGCCAAACAGGATGGTGGCTGTCGAGGTCGCCGATGATGCCGCTCACTGTGCTCGCAGCGTTGATGCAGGCCGCTGCGTGCCACGCGCACCCGCTGCAGCGCCGCTCAGTACCGTACGTCACCTGACAACAACACAAGCAACATAATATACAGATCGATAACACACCGGTTGAGGGTTGTGACACAGCATTACAAGCTTATAACGCAGCATTCATATAGGTTGTAATAGCGGTGATAGTTGTTGACACAGCATACAGCTTATTAACCCAGCATCATATAGGTTGTAACACAGCAGTGAGGGTTGTGATATATATGATATAGGCTGTAACGCAGCAGTGATGGTTGTGATACATATTATATAGGTTAATTGTAACAGAGCACTGATGGCTCTAACATATCATATAGGTTATAACACAGCCATGGCCAAAATGGACGTTAAATGGTGGTAGTATAGTGGGTGAGGGTGTAATCGGTCGAGGCTGTAGTAGGCAGTGGTGGTGTTGGTTTAGGGGGTTATTGTAACGTGGATGCAGGTGGGGGTTATGTAACGTTGGGTGCAGGCGGGTGTTATGTAACGTGGGATGCAGGCGGCCGTTATGTTAACGTGGATGCAGGCAGGGTTATTGAAACAGTGGTATGCAGGCGGGTTATTGTAACGTGGGTGGCAGGCGGCGTTATGTAAACTGTAGGATGCAGGCGGTATGTAACCGTGGATGCAAGCAGGCGTTATGTAACGTGGGTGCAGGCGGGTCGGTTATGTCGTGGATGCAGCGGCTGGGTATAATGTAACGTGGATGCAGGCGGGGGCTTATGTAACGTGGATGCAGGCGGGGGTTATGTACGGGATGCAGCCGGGGGATTATGTAACGTGGGTGCACTGGCGGATGTTATTGTAACGTGATGCAGGCGAGGGGTTATGTAACGTTGATGAGGCGGGTTACTGTAACGTCGGTGCAGGCGGTTATGATAACGTGTATGCAGGCGGGCGGTATATGTAACGTGCGATGCAGGCGGGGGTTATGTTAACGTGGTGCGGCGGGGATTAGAAACGTTGGGTGCAGGCGGGGTTATGTAACAGTGGATGCAGGCGGGGTTATGTAACGTGGGTGCAGCGGGCGGTTATTGTAACGTGGATCAGGCGGGGTATTTAACGTGGCATGCAGGCGTGCGGGTTATGTAACAGTGGATTGCAGGCGGGGTTATGTAACGGATGCAGGCGGGGTTATGAACGTGGGTGCAGGAGGGGTATGTAACAGTGGAATGCAGTGGGGGGTTATGTAACGTGGATGCAGGCGATGTTATGGTAACGTTGATGCAGGGCGGATTATGTACGTGATGCAGGCGGGGTTCTGTAACCGTGATGCAGGCGGGGGTTATTATGTAACGTGGATGCAGCGGGTAATGTAACGTGTGATGCAGCGAGGTTAGTAACGTGGATGCAGGCGGGGTTATGTAACGTGGATGACCAGGCTGGGTTATGTACGTGGATTGCAGCGGGTTAATGTAACGTGGTATGCAGCGAGGTGGTTTATGTAACGTGGATGCAGGCTGGGGTTATGTAACGTGGATGCAGGCGGGGTTATGTAAACGTGGATGCAGGCCGGGGGCTTATGTAACGTGGGTCGCAGAAAGGTGGACGTCTCTCACCTTCTCGTTGACGATTCGAGAGTTTCGCGCGCGCTTCATCTGTGTGAAGGGTGTCATTCGGGCTGTTCTGTTACAATCGCCGGGCACTCCTCACTAGCTGCACGGAGGCGGTCCCAGCTCCTTGCACCGTCTGCCTGATCTCTGTCAATCTGTATGGATGAGTGGGGGGAGCATAACAATTGTAACAGCCGCTTTTCCATTTATACAATAGGTACGACAGTTAGCGGTATTTACATCTAACCAGACGCGCTGAGAACAGAATAATTCGTGTTGGATTATTTAGGGATTACCTTTTTAACGTGCGTCCCGTCAGTGAATAAAACATACTACGGAGATACAATTCTTATGGAGATATTCCATGTACGAAAAATAAGTTGGAGCCGCCGGTAATGTATATTACAATGCCAGTTATTTAAAGCATAAACTTATAATATTGAACACAGAATAACATTAAAAATATTCATATGAGGAAGTCTAAACTAGTCTAAAAGTTAAACACATGCCCGGAAACGTATGCAACATTGGGATATAGCGCATGCTCACGTTGCTGCCGCACAGTTCCCGATGACGTACGTACCTCTGGGTTGCCAGGACACCATGGCCACTCGTGGACTCGTGCAACGATGTTGAGTGTGTGGTAATGCTGTGGGACAGAGCACTGAGAGGCCCCGGATCTGTCGTTAGGACTTACTCGTTGCAACACAAGAAACATGAACACACGCACGCCACATAACGACGTACCTACAGCGTGCACAGCGAGAGACACACAGTGTGAACCTATAAACATGCATGTTACGGCACGCAGTGGGCAGATACCATGCTACAAGGCTGCATATAATATGTGGCATGTGCAACGCTATACACAGGTATTCGAAGCACACGCTGTGGCATATACACATGTACACAAGGTGCATAGTGCAACGTGATGACAAGTGTATTAAGCACACAGTGTTGGCATTATAACATTGTACACAAGCTGGCATAGTGCAACCTATGAACTGTATGTTACGGCACGGCAGTTGAGGCGTTTGTTGGCTTACATGTACACAAGTTGCATAGTGGCTAGCATACGCGCGATGTATTCAAAGCACACAGTGTGGCAAATATACACATGTACAACAAGTGCATAGTGCAACGGTATGCGGCTTGTAATTCAAGACAACAGTGTGGCATTACACAATGGACACACAGTGCAAGTGCAAACGCTATGCGCATGTAATTCAGCACTACAATGTGGCATAATACATCATGTACACACATTGCATAGTGCACAGTAATGCGCTTGTATTCAAGCACACGATGTGGTGGCATATACATCATGTGACACAGGAGCTGCATTAGCTGGCAACGTAATGGGCATGTATTCAAGCACACAGTGTGAGACATATACACATGCTACACAAGTGCATGAGTGCAACATTCAGCGCACTGTATTCAAGCACACAGTGTGGCATATACACATGCCACACAAGTGCATAGTTGCAACGTATGCGCAGGTTGTTACCAACGTTCTTACCCAACTTTCTAGCATATTCTGACCTTATTAAAAATGCACTCTTTGTGGGTTATTTTGTGATCTTTTAACGCTGAAACCATGAGCACAGGCAGAGGATATCTAAACGAAGGATTTCCCTTTAATACGCAATTAACTACACACGAGGAGTCGCAATAATAATCACAGCTAATGTCATAACGCAATTTGCAATTTGCCATTTTTGTGGCGCTCTCACCATTTCGTGTGCTACTCGGGAATCTCCTTCAGCTGCATTTGTCATGTATGTTTGTCTGATAGTCAACAAAGTCTTTATCCTCGGACTTCCGTCTGGCTGGCTTGCCCTTTCTTCGAGTCTGTAAACAGTTATAACACACAATGATATTTCTCTTTATAGCTGTGTGTTTGCACATGTGAAATGAGCATATTACAGGTAGTAAGTACAAAAGTACACAGTAGCTAGTACATAAGTACAGGTAGGCATTTAGTAGCAATACATAACAGCACAGGCTAAGTTGTACCCCACGGTCAATGACGTACTCAGCAACGATTGGCTGCCTCATCACTAATCACCTTGCCTATGTACGCTTCCTATGTTTTTCTCGATCTATACGAATAATCCCTCTACATCACCTCTAACTGATCACGTTATGCACTGTGTAGCCCCTACCATCATGCTGCAGGCTGCCCAGGACAGATCCCGCTGGAAGGACACTATTCGTACAGCTTACGTCCATCGGGGGACCAAGAGAATAAGAAGAAGAAGCCCATACCTTAATAATGGCCTGTGTTGATCGCCTATGTTACACTTCCTATGTTTTACCCATGTATAGAATAATCGCTCATACAACCCCCTAACTCAGGCTTGTACCCGGGATTCGCCTAAGGGGGGGTCCAATTCAAAGGTGTGTGGGTGACTGCGAGCGCCGAAGGCGCAAAGCCGATGGTAGGGGGGTCCGCGGGCATGCCCCCCACTGGAAAATTTTGAAAAATTGCTTTAAAATGGTGCATTCTGTTCTGCCATTTTGAACAGTTTTCTTTCTGGATGACATACCTAGCCCAACTATAAAATAGGCCTGTCGACTTGTATTTATTTTTTGATGGTTGGGGGTTCTTGGAACTCCCTGGAACCCCCCCCCTTGGGACGGGACTGTAACGGTCACTGTGTAGACCATTACCTTTGATGATGGCCTTGTTAATCTGGTCAAGCATGACAGTGACCGCATCCGGCTTCTGTGGCCGCCTCGTCCAGTGTGTCCAGCAGGTCATTCACAGGATTCCTTCAACCCATGCCGCCGCTTCATCGATAGCTTCATGAGCTGTGTCGCTGCAGATAATTATATGATTATTACTAATATTATTATTATTATTATTATATTATTATATTTTTTGTTATTATAATAATTATTTTATTATTATATTTGTTTTATTATTTATGATTATGTTATTATTATTAATTTTTAATTATTATTAATATTATTATTATAATAATAATAATTGTAAGAATACCAATAATACACGATGGCAATAATCATAATAATTGATAACGACAGTAAAAATAAGGATGGTGACCAGGGACACAGCTAGAGTCTGGGGTGGGACGGCCGCCTCCCCCTAGACAAATGTAGATACATTACATGGCCAACGGCAGTCACCTTCCAGAACACGAGCCACATTGTGGGTGTATACTTATATTGTGCATGCGTGCACAAGATAGGGTTATGTTGTTAGAGTTTTCTTTACGTTGACACAGTGTGTGAATAAAAAGGTGGCTCCTCCGTGTGTACATACGCGCGTACAGAGAGGACCCTCTTACCTTAGGGACGTTTCGCCGCCCTCCTTCACCGAGTGCACGAGTTGCAGTGAGCACTCCGCCACAGTCTTTGTTTGCTCCAACAGCGCCATCTGGCGACGAGTGTTCATTGTCTTTGACGCACAGCCAATCGAAAATCGGCCAGTGGTTCGAGGAAGACGCGTCAGCTTGGTCACCTGGGTGGTCAGAACGAGAATTAAGCGAAGCGGCATAAGTAATGTGCCTCGAGGCTGGGCTGCATGCCTGTGCCTCAAATATCGAGTCACAATGTCTTTGTAAAGTTTCTGTGCCATGATTCTGCAGAATGCCACATTAACATGAGGAAGATGCATATGAATGATATCATATCATGCCAGAACACATATTATATGACATGTATCTAGTTCTAGCAGAAATGCCGCTTGACAAAGAATGAAGTAATCATCAGATATATTATTTAATGTATCATATCATGCGAATCATATTATATGCATGTATCATATTCTACAGAATGCGCATTGACATGAGGAAGATATATGAATGTATCATATCATGCAGAATCATATTATATGCATGTATCATTTTTAAGAATACGCATTGACATGAGGAAGATATATGAATGTATCATATCATGCAGAATCCTATTATATGCATGTATCATATTCTAGAGAATACGCATTGACATGAGGAAGATATATGAATGTATCATATCATGCAGAATCCTATTATATGCATGTATCATATTCTAGAGAATACGCATTGACATGAGGGTGTTGTATGTAATATATCGCAACATCGCCTGATATCGCATGGAATCCCATATGGTACTCACGTAGTGTCCAAGTCTCTCCGACTCGCTCCTTCCTGACACTCTCACGTCCTCCACCGTCTCCGTAATCTCGTTAGTTGTACTCACCATCTGTTCTTGGAAGCCCTGAAACGAAGACCTACGTTACAGCCCGCTGCACATAGCACGTTCTGAACCCAACGATGACACCAATACATAGCACGTTCTGAACCCAACAACGACACGAACGCATACCACAATCTGAACCCGACATCGACACAAACGCATAGCATGTTCTGAACCCAACGACCACACGAGCGCATAGCACGTTCTGAAACCGACGACGACACAAACGCATAGCACGTTCTTAATCTCTGGTGGACTCACTATAAGCAAATAGACAACACTCTTTACTTCAGTTTGGAGAGGTAGACACAAAGACCTATTTTCAACATCAGATAGAACCCTACATGCAATCCGGCTTTAAAAAAAACATTTTCCACTTTACCGCCGTGTAACGCACGAATCATGGTTGAACCCCATACCTGGAGCGAGTTGTGGGTCCTGGGAGCGAGGTTCTGGCTAACGGCTGCCAGAGAGGCGTGGTCCAAACCCTTGATAACGACATTGATCTTGTAGATGGCCTCGTCACATTCCTTCTGACCGGGAGCCTTGTCCCTAAAACAAGCGGCAGGTTTACACGTGGGGAGCATACAGCGCTAGCCAAGCCGCTGCTAACACCGCCATTTTATTGCGGTAGCAGCAACAGCAGCTATGGCAGCGTCACCTACGGCATGCACGTGTGTTAGAAAATTGCAGCAAAGCAGTAAATAATGATGTAGCAGTTGTATATGACAATAAGACTACAAATAACGCGACTGCTGTTTGCCAAAAACCAACCGAACAACCGAGCATATTCATTCTTCATCGATCACCGATTAGGGGAGCCATCGTAAGAACGATAAAGCATCCTGAGCTTAACAGAAAGAACCTTCTCAAAACGATCACAACTTCAGCACGATTCTATATACATATAATAATATTTTTTAATATAATTACATTTAATAATATTTTTTAATACAATTACATTTAATAATATTTATTATAATAATTATAATAATAACAATATATAATACTACTACTACTACTACTACTAATAATAATAATATTATTACTGCTTCATAGCACTATCTCATAGACAATCCGTTCCAACTCTACGAAGGTTCCACCGCTAACCGCGACGATGAATATGACTCTCGAGCCACGACTGACCGCAGCTGACCACTCACCGGATGGACGTCACCAGCTTCTTGATCGAGTCGGAGACGTTCTTGGAGTGGGCGGCGAGAAGCTGCCAGGTGGGCGGGTCCTTCGGGTTGACGGACAGCGACTTGGCGGCCGTGATCATGCAGCAGGAGCCGTCAATCATCGTCTTGCCCGCGGACGTGATTGGCTCCTGCGACTGCCTCGCCTGACGAGCGAAACAAGAGGTCGCGTCAAGGTCGAATGTTTACGACGATAGGGGAATAGCGTCGTTAAATTACGCAGTCCATAAATTAAATAACAGTATATTATTTCCCCTCTCCCCACTTCCTTCTCTCCTACTGACGTTTGTCTGTAATTGTTTTTGATTGTGTCTTCCTTTCTCCTCTCATATATCTCCCAGTTCTGTCTATGTATCTATCTATATATTTATATCCATCTATCTCGCTGTCTCTCACTCCCTTTCTCTTTCCCTCTACTATTCCACACCATCTCTCCCAACTTCCTCTCCTACTGACTTCTTATTGTGTCCTCCTTTTCTCCTCTCCTCTCCCCTCCTCTCCTCTCATCTGCCATCTCTATGTATCTCTCTGGCTCTCTCTCCCTTTCTCTCTCCCGCTACCATTTCTCACCATCTCTTTCATTGATGCCTGACACGTTACCCACCTCTTGCGATATCTTAGCTGGGATGGAAGCAAACTCGGGCGAGGAAGCAAATATGGTAAGGTTTTCCACAGCATCTATCAGGGGTCGTGTTGCCTGGGCACACTGCGCACGGTTCGCGTCACTGTAGTCCGAGTCAAGTACCTGTGGAGAGATAACGCAAACATGTGTTCACACACCATATGTTTGCTTTCCAGTTACAATCCTTTCATCTTTTGCATCCAGGGGGCCGTTGTCAGAATCATCGTAAAGTTAATGCTACTGTTAATGCTAATACTAATGTTAACCCTAATGTTGTTTCTGACAATGGGCATGCACCACAGCATCCAGAGTATATAACCTACTCCTTGCTCGAGTAGATAACCTCTTCTTCTTTGCATCTCCCTTTTTTTAAAACGATCTATCGACGTGTTTAATGTCACATGCAATTACCTTCTATTGCTTTTGATCAGCACTATTTATTATTCAGTAATTCCGATAATTAGTTGATAATATTAACTATTAACTAATGTTTAATTATTTTACATTGATTAATGCATTTGTTGTCAACAGAAGCTGTGGAATGAACATCTATCTATACATATCTCTATATATATATACCTGCGAGAAGAAGGCAGGAATCTCAGCAGGCAGGAAATGGATTCTCTTTGGACGATAACGGGACTTTTTTCGGACAGAAACAGGAATTGTTTAGACAAACTGGATTCCTAACAGCGAGAAACTGGATTCTTCTTGGACAGAGCAGGAGTTTCGTTGTAGGACAAAGAACAAAGGTTGATGCTTAATTTGCTTCATTTCATAGGTTAAAACTATTAAAAACATACATCATCGCTCTGCTATAATGTCCATATTTATTTTAACTTATTTTGAGACTCGTAAACTTCTTGTGTATAAAACGAGAACAAATTTCCTAAACAAAGGTGAAAACGTTAGTATACAAACGACACACACCTTGATGGCCTTGACGAGGTTAGCTGTGGCATTGGCAACGTCCTTTGCGGACTGCACAAACTGTCGCTTAGCAACCGGGTTGGTTGTCTTGGAGCTTGCGATGCGGCAGCTGTTGCATAGCGATGAGGTGTGCTTGGCAATGATGGTGGCTGATTGCAACACCTGTGAAAGAATGAAGGAACAACGTGCAAGCATGTTGGCAGGCACCCTCTCTCTCTACAGACGTACGTGCTACCGAACATACTAAAAACCACACCATTGACACGTGTTTTCCACGTACGAAAACACAAATGAAACGCGTCAGAAACACACACACTTTTTGCTAAAAACCTGTGCATATAGCATGTGGACAACCCACGAACAACGTGGACTTACGCAGACTTACTATAAACACTGCTGGTGGATACAGCGACACACTACGTGTTTTACATTGCATGAAACCTCGTGTATGTATACACAGACTCCATCTACGAGCTGTTTACGTGAAAATGTCCTCCACGAGAAGAAAAGAGTACGTAAAGAAGACGTAATATGTAAGCTTGGATGAGAATTTCTCTTAAAAACATTTGAAAGAGTCGAAACACGAAAGCGTTTTCAACGGGTGGCCACGTGAAATATGTGTACACACTAATGAATGAACGCTGATCATATGCCGAACATACGCTGAACATACGCTGAACATACGCTGACCATACGCTGAAAATACGCTGAACATATGTTGATCATACGCTGAACATATGATGAACATATGATGAACATATGTTGATCATACGCTGAACATCTGCTGATCATACGCTGAACATATGCTGAACATACGCTGAACATATGTTGATCGTACGCTGATCATATGCTGAACATACGCTGATCAAACGTTGATCATACGCTGAACATACGCTGATCATACGCTGATCATACGCTGATCATACGTTGATCATACGCTGAACATACACTGAACATACGTTGATCATACGCTGAACATATGCTGAACATACGCTGAACATACGTTGAACATACGCTGATCATACGCTGAACATATTTTTTTTCTTTTTGTTTATTTTAACAGAACTAATGATTTGAATCCCCGTGCAGCTTACCTGCTGTTGGCTGCTTGCTGGATTCGTTAGGTTCTGGCAGGCAACCTGTATGGCCTGACTCGCGCGCGCAAACTGCGCCTGATCCACCAGGCCTGGTCGGCCAGCCTCACTCGATGGGTCCGCGATACCGACCAAGTACGCAGACTGAAATCACAGGTTATGTCATGTTACATTATGGTATGACTAGAGGTAACCCAGAATGAAATATATCATGGTACGTTATGTTACATTACAGTATGACTACGATAGCTAGGCCAGAATGAAATATGTCATGGTACGTTATGTTACATTATGGTATGACTATGAGAGGTACGTAGAATGAAATCACAGGTTATGTTACCTCATGTTACAGTGCTGTACGACTAGGAGAAGTAGGCCAGCATCAAATATGTCATGGTACGTTATGTTACATTATGGTATGACTACGATAGGTAGGCCAGAATGAAATCATATGTCATGTCATGTTGACTATCTGTCCTTCTGTCTGTCATCTTTTTATTTATAGTTTTATGTGAGAACTCTTAGAAACTACCTGGAATCTCTTCTCTTACCTGTGAGGCAGCTTCAATAAGGGCACAGACAGCATCAGCCACTTCCTTCACCGATCTTCCAAAGCTCTCAAGCTCTCCCTTCTTAGCAGTGTTAGCTATACCTACACAAACAACACAGTTCAGATTAGCACCACCGTGCGTAGTGCCAGCATGAAAACAACAGCAAAACAAGCGTGTTAAGTCACCACCTGGTGGTAAAGCGCAACGTTAACAACAACAACCGTTGTATCCACAGAAATCCAAACGTTTACAGATGTCATTAACATTTAATACTGATTAACAAGATAATAATTACTAACAATATAATTACTACCTATGACAATTAATGATGAACTAATAATAACTACACTCGGGCGACAACTGCAACATATGCTGAAAACTTCACAAAAATTCGCCAGAGTTCGAGAGTTCAGCCTTTGACCTCACTCGCTCGTTAGCGCGCGGCAGCAGCAGGGCTCGTACCCGTCATCGCGTTGCCGAGATGCTTCGAGTTGTCCATGACGACGTCGAGACACTCGTAGTAGGTCGTATCGTTGACGGGCTCGGACGGGTCGTCGAGCATCGGCCGCATGGCGCGGATGCGACGCAGCGCGCTGTCACACTCCTTCTGTCCCGGAGCGGACGTCGAGCACAGGTTCAGCAGTTGGTTGATGCTCTTCGTCACCGCCCTGCCGGCAGCGTGATGTCACATATAACACATGTAGGTGTGGGAGGGTGTGTGTGTGGGGGAGGGTGTGTGTGTGTGTGTGTGTGCGTGCATGTATAATTCATTGTATTGGTTGTAGTGGGATTAAGAACGATCTAGTATTTGCTGTCTGTCTGCGCACTGTGCATTACGTACGTGATTGCTTACACAAATGCGCTCGCGCGCACACACACACACACACACTAACACGCGCACGCACGCACGCACGCACGCACGCACGCACGCACGCACACACGCACGCACGCACGCACGCACCGCACACTGCTACGTACCTTGCAGCGGCAGCAAGCTGGTTCTTTGCATTCGGTGCGTTCGGATCTGCCGACACCGACTTGGCGGAGAGCAGGAAGCGACTGGACACCATGGATATGTTCTTCATGCTGGTCACCATGTGTCCCTGCAGCTGACCCTCCTAAACACAACGGTCCAAACATGTTTACACACATAGTACATGTAATGTTACACGGCGATAGGAGAAACTTATGCATAACATAACTATTAGAGAATCTAAACATGAGTGTGACCATATTCACAGACATATTACATGCAATGTTACACAGCGATAAGAGAAACTTATGCGCTAAGCATAACATAACTATTAAAGAATCTAAATTTAAGAATAAAACACGAGTTTAGCGATGAAGTCGGCTGGCAGCCGAATCAGTAGAACAGCCAACAAATAATCAGCAATTCGGGAACAGAAATCATGTGTTGATGTATGGCAGTGCGTGTCAATGTCAGTGTTGGTAAACGTGGGCAAACACAGCATTGTGGTTTAATTGTGGTTTCGCATGATTTCCGAGTTCAAAGGTTGGATACTCGTGCCTAAATCGAGTTTGTGAGTACTCGGTCCTGACACCCAAGTGTTTATCCTCGGCTTAAGGTAGGAAAAATCACTGTAATTCCTCTAATCTACCTGCACATTTGCATATCAGCATTCCTTACATGTAAACGCTCATCTTAGTGTATATTTCACCTATTCAAATATATCAGCATGCTTTATATCTTGTATGTGTCTATACTGGTGCCCCCTACAAATATGTTTCTATACCACTGCCCTCTACAAATGTTTCTACACCACTGCCCTCTACAAATATGTTCCTACACCACAGTCCCACAAATATGTTTCGACACACTGCCCCCTACAAATATGATTCTACACCAGTGCCCCCTACAAATATGATTCTACACCAGTGCCCTCTACAAATATGTTCCTCCACCAGTGCCCTCTACAAATATGTTCCTACACCACAGCCCCTACAAATATGTTTCGACACACTGCCCCCTACAAATATGTTTCTACACCAGTGCCCCCTACAAGTATATTCTTACATCAGCGTCCCCTACAATCCTATGCCCCCGACATCCGGCGTCGATGCGAAGTAGGAGGCGCCGATGAAGGAGCTTTTAGGGGGCGCTGGTGTCGAGGGGTGTGCTTATAATATTATTTATTAATTAATTAATTATATGGTGTTGGGGTTGGGGGTGTGTTATGTATAACGTAAGAGCAGCAGGCACGCACCCTGGTGTAACACAGCAATTCCGGAAACTTATGCACTAAGCATAGCATAACTATTAGAGAATCTAAATTTAAGAATATAAACGCGAGCGCTCGGCACGCACCCTGGTGAGGCCGGCGATCGTCATGCCGGAGTCCATGAAGTCGCAGAATGCGTCGCCGTACTTCTCGGACGCGTCGGCTAGGCCGGCGGGCGGGCCCTGAGACGCGCTCACCACCTCGCCTGCAGCCTCGTTCAACTGCGCCGCCGCATCGTTCAACTCCAGCTGGATCTCCGCAAACGTCTTGTGCGTGTCCGGGAATCTGTGGGTGGCAGTGGCAAGGGTTAGTCTCACATATGAAGACTGCAGCATGCCTCCTAACATGCACGTGTGTATGTTGTGTACGTACGTACAGAGCTACAGACGTACAGACTGTGACACAGACACTACTACCAGGGCCGTAAGCTGAGCAAATTCCTAGGTGGGCAGTGGCGGATCCAGGATTTCAAGGAGGGAGTGAGAAACAGGTGGGGGGTCCTCCCACAGAAAATTTTGAAAATGTAGATCACAGGAGATGGTATTTGAGGCACTTTTGAGTACATGTGCCTTCATTCTGACTACGACAATTCTCATTTAGTAGATCAATTTATTTTTTTAATTTTGCTCCGAAATCTAGGGGGGGCAGCCGCCCCCCTTGACCCTCCCCCACCGCAGGCTACGGCCCTCACTACTGAGCTTACCTCCCACTCGACAGTTCTTGGCTCTTGTGTCCGATGACCTTGATGGCTGAGTCAACGTCACGCTGTCCGGGGAGACAGCTGATGCAGTTGTTAAGTGAGTGTGATACGGCCTTGGCAACCTGCAAAACACACGCATATAGATGTATACATATAGCCATATGGATCCCACATTGACACATATTCACACACGAGGATGCCTAGCTGTCTGTGCATGCACAGAAGCAACAGCAGCAACAATAATGACAACAACAATAATAACAATGATAATGACAACTAGAGGAAAAACAGCAACAACAACAACAACAAAATCAAGGTTAATGACAATGACATCAATGACAATGACACCAAAGACTATTATTCTACAACAGTGTCATCAGCAATGATAACACAACAATATCAACAACAAGAAAGATATCAACATCAGCGATAATGACAACGACAACAACAACAACAACAACAACAACAACAACAACAACAACAACAACAACAACATAACATCAACAGAAACAATAACAACCACAACTAAAGCAAGACTTTTCTGCAGCACGTACCAGGCCCAGACGTTGCTGGTTCTCCGGGTTGTTGGGGTTGTTCACCGCCTTCTTCGATTCCTCCAGCAGACGCGCCGACTTGTTCATGACGTCACGCGCAGCCTCGATGATGCGCTCCTGCACCTCCTTGTCGTCGGTCGTCGCGGCAACGCCACGCACAGCCTCCTTGAGGATGGCGAGTGAGTTGGCGGTCTCGCGCGCGGCGATGCCCGTGTAGCTCTCGTCGCCCTGAAACGCGATCACGGGTTTTAGTGATGTCTCGCGACACGATCACGGGTTTTAGTGACATCTCGCAACGCAATCATGGGTTTTTAGCAATGTCTCGCAATGCCTGAGAAAGCGGGGAATTAACAATCAGTGAATCAAATGAATAATTCAGATATGGTTGTACAGTTATACTTACTCTGCAAATTTTATTATTTTGTTGCACTAACCGGGACAGAGAAACCCTGATGGGTGGGGATCGAGTGGGGGAAGCAAAATTACACTTCATGACCGTCACTCTGTAAATTTATCCTGTTTTATGAGAATATAGCGTTTAATGTATTAACATATTCATGTGACTATTACACTCACGGGCACCGTCTTACATGGCATGCAATCCACACGACTCAAGGTCACCGCATCGACCTCAGATCTCCAGGGTCACCAAACTGACCTACTCACCCCCCTTAGTATCGCACCATCATCTAACCATAAATTCACTGATCCTTGCATGATTACTGGGAGACTTACACTGCCAAGGTCACCACATTGACCTATGACCTCCGAGGCTGACCTACGACTCACCTGCGCGGCAGCAGAGAGGAGCTGTGCCATGGAGGAGCCGACCTGCTTGGAGGTCGCACTAAGTCTCAGTGCTGATCCCTCCGCCTGCACGAACAGCAACGATGACATCGTTAATTAATAGTAGCTCATCACCTAGCTTCTAAGCATGCTAACATATCGACTATAACCAAATGTTTTGTCAGTGTTTTAACCAATTATAACTCATTACCTAGATGGTGACCAATGATTAGTATTTACAATCATTTAACCAATTAGTTTTATTATAATTCATGACCTAGATGGCTGACTAATAATTACAATCATCTAACCAATTATTTCTATTATAACTCAGCACCTAGATGGCCAACTAACCATTACAATTTTAACTCGGTGTATAGTTAACGAACTAATTGTTACTATATCATAACCCACCTACTAATCAACGAAGTAATCATTATTACTATAACACAGCTGGCTAAGCGAACATCACTAAATAGCTAACATATACTTAATAATAATAATAATAACATACATAACACCCTAACTCATCACCCTCATTTTTATAACTCATCAGCATATATCAGTAACATCGCGAGTGTAGTTACCGTTTCCTCTGGTAGGGGGCGCAGCCTTCCCTCGACGGCCGTCATTCTGATCGATTCCAGTTCTTTGTCAAGCTGATAGATGGTGTCGATAGCCGAGTCAAGCTCCAGCGACCCACACGCCTCCTGTGAACGCCACACACACACATACTCAGTATGGTCACACAATCAGTAAGGCAATGATGACAATTCACTCAGCTATGGTGGGCAGTGAGCGTGCCAGTGTAAAGCAGGCTTTGTGTGGCAGTAGGCTCTGTGGTCCATGGACCCATTTGTGGTCGGTGGATGGGTTTCAGGGGGTCCGTGAACCAGGCGCATAAAAATTATTGTGTTTATATGTGCTTACGTGCATTTTTCTGGGGAGGGATCCGTAGCTTTCACTAGATTCTCAAAGGAGTCCATGACTCAAAAAAAAGTTAAGAACCACTGATCTACAGGATATATCTCCATGCAACTCCCTGTAGTGGCAGTTGAGGTAGTTAAGGATGTCTGCATGGGCCCAAGAAGCCAAGTAAATCAGCACTTTACTATGATGCACATGTCAAAGTGCAAACATATGAATATGTATACATTGTACAGATACGTATTGTGTATATATAGAGCTATACACATAACATATGCATGTTCTTGGAGCTATTCCATGGACAGACATACAGTCAGCAGAACAAACTGCTTCATGAAGTGGAAGAACGCACAGTACACACTGGATGGCTGACTGGAAGACTGAGTTGCCATTTCGCCCCCTCAATCAATTCAATTTATTTAGTTTGTTTAATTTGTTTTCATTTTATTCGCACTGTCTCTTAACTTGCTGGACTGATATGTTACCTCCAAAATGTAATCATAAGTGTAAATAAACTAAATTGAATTGAATTGAATTGAATCGATTTGGTGGGAACTACTTTCGGGAGTTGAGGAAGGGTATCACATCACATCACATCACATCGCCACCCAGTGTCGGTCGACCAATCACCGTGATCCACTCACCTGAGCCTTGCCGGCGGCCGATCGCAGCTCCGCTAGCGCCACCTGCAGGTTCTTGGCAGCGGTGCTCAGCTGCATAGCCGCTGCCTGGTCACCGACGGTCGGTACGGCCGTCTTGGACGACACGACCAGCTGACCTGCAAGGTCAAGAGGTCACGGTGATGATGCAAGGTCAAGTTAAGAAAAGAAAAAGTGCGGACCGAAAAATTGGATCCGGATATCCTGATGAGATAAAACACTATTATACAAGAATATATAACAAGCATACATAGTTAAGATCATTAGATGCAATTCCCTTTTTTTAAATAAAAAATTAAAATATGAAATTACTATACTTTTAATTAAAAAACAAAAACAATTATCCGAATTTTTCTCAGGACAGAAATCTGTCTACAGACAGACAGTTAACACCCATGCAAGTGGTCACAGTGATAATGCGTGGCAGCAGGAGAGCGTGAGATCATTACAAGGATACCAAGGTACATATTTTTATATATATATATATATAATAAGGTGGGTAGCACATACCTGCTGGCTGCAGGAACTGCTGGCTGGCTGAGATGAGGGCTAGCTGTGCCTGCGAGTTCTCCGGCTCATGCATCGAGCGCTTGATGCCCTGCACCAGTCTGGGGATGTGATCGGCGGTCACCTGTGTGAGAGAGACTGAGAGTTACTGCTGCCGTTGCTACTGCTACTGTTGTTACTGCTGCTGTTGCTACTGCTGCCGTTGCTACTGCTACTGTTGTTACTGCTGCTGCTGCTACTGCTGCCGTTGCTACTGTTACTGCTGTTACTGCTGCTGTTGCTACTGCTGCCGTTGCTACTGTTACTGCTGTTACTGCTGCTGTTGCTACTGCTGCCGTTGCTACTGTTACTGCTGTTACTGCTGCTGTTGCTACTGCTGCCGTTGCTACTGTTACTGCTGTTACTGCTGCTGTTGCTACTGCTGCCGTTGCTACTGTTACTGCTGTTACTGCTGCTGCTGCTACTGCTACTGCTGTTACTGCTGCTACTGCTACTGCTGCAGCTGCTACTGTTGTTACTGCTGTTACTGCTGCTATTGCTGCTGCCTACTACTGTTACCGCTGCTACTGCTGCTGTTACTGCTGCTACTGCTGCTGCTGCTGCTGTTGTTACTGCTGTTACTGCTGCTACTGCTGCTGTTACTACTGCTGCGGTTACTGCTACTGCACCAGTCTGGGAATGTGATTGGCTGTCGTCTATGTGAGAGAGACTGAGAGTCTGAGAGAACTGCTACTGCTGCTACTGCTGCTGCTGCTACCGCTATTGCTACTGCTGCTGCTACTGCTGCTACTACTACTGCTGCTGGTGCTGCTACTGCTACTGCCGCTACTGCTGCTGCTGCTACTACTACAACAACTGCTGCTGAAACTACTGCTGCTACTACGTAACTGCTGTTGCTGTCACTACTGCTGCTACTGCTGCTGCTGTTGCTGTCACTACTGCTGCTGCTGCTACTGTGACTGCTACTGCTACTGCTACTGCTACTGCTACTGCTGCTGCTGTTGCTGTCACTACTGCTGCTATTGCTGCTGCTGTTCCTGCTGCTGTTGCTGTCACTACTGCTGCTACTGCTGCCGCTGTTGCTGCTGCTGTTGCCGTCACTACTGCTGCTACTGCTGATGCTGTTGCTGTCACTACTGCTGCTACTGCTGGTGATGTTGCTGCTGCTGTTACTGCTACTACTGCTGCTGCTGTTGCTGTCACTACTACTACTGTTATCGCTACTGTTTCTAACATGCAGCATTGCATATGCAACATCCTGCACATAACACTGCGCAACACAATATTGCGTACGCAACATCGCGCGCGCGTCGCACACACAGCGTGGCTGGTGACAGGTGGCTCACCCTACACTCGTTGACCAGCTCCTGCTGACTTGTCATGTTCTTGTTCGACGCGCCGGCTTTCTGCGCGCCGGCGATGTCCTGGGTCGCAGCGGCGGCCGCCTGCTTTGCTGCCAGCTGCAATGTAAGCAAGTGAACGTTAGGGTGCGCATGTCACGATGCTCGACTAAAATATATATAATATGAATGTACATGTATATATATATATATCAAGAGTACATAATGGGAGAAGAGTATGACACTGTTTTAACCGCGTTTTGCGTAGTTTTCAAGTTAAATTTATTCTATCAATATGTGAATAAATATATTCAAACTTTACCTTGTTTTCCTCTCGGATTCTCCCTTAATCATATGATACCACCAGTTTTGCCAGTTTACCAGCCAAGCACAGTAACAGCACTTGTTTCGCTTCCTTATCATCAGGAACACGATGGCAACACAGGTAAAATCAGCTGCTAGCTAGCCGTGAGCACACATTTATTTCTAGCACGCTGGAAACGCATTACACACTGAATACAATTCGATGCTAGCTAATATCCCCAACAGCCCCCAGCGTCCCGTCAGAGACAATAGAACATTAATCCGATAACAAACATTGGTCGATAAGATGCAAAAGTTTGGGAAAACTGTGTGAAACCGTGTCGTATTCAAATTTTTTTTTGAAGAACACATACGATTTTCAGGTAAACTGGTGGTGTCACATGATTAAGGGAGAATCCGAGACAAAAACAAGGTAAAGTTTGAAAATATTTATTCACATATTGATAGAATAAATTCAAGTTGAAAACTACGCAAAACGCTGTTAAAACAGTGTCATACTCTTCTCCCATTATGTACTCTTGATATATATATATACACATATATATATATATATATATAAATATATACATACATATGTCAGCCACCGATAGAAAAAGGAACGAATGAAAGTTTGTAAGTTTCCACAAGATATACACTGATATAGGGGAAAAAGAGGAAAAGCTCAAAATCATAGGGAAAAAAGAAGAAAAGCTCGAAATAATATAGGGGAACAAAATATTTGGGGACTAAAAAGGACCAAAACTACGGGACCTCGACCCCACTGTGTCCCACGTACGTACCTCGAGTCGAATCATCAGCTTCTTCTTGAGAGCGTTCTGCGCGGCGGCGTTCGTTGCCGACCTCAGGTCCTCCGCCGCCTTCCTCAGCTTCTGCTGCTGCTCCGGGTCATGCGGACTGGTGGCGCAGCCCTGGTGGCACAGCAAAACAAGGAGCGCGTTAATGACGCGAGGCGGCGCGAGCGACGGGCCGAGAATAACCGCTTGACTGGTGGGTGATGGTCGGGGAGGGCGGAGAGAGCGCGGGGCGGGGTCCGGGGTTGGCGTGCAGGGAGACGGCGTGGCAGTCAGCTCTCATGCAGTTTGCGTAAAATGCAGCATTATAGTTGGAGGGCATTATATAACAATGGCCGACACCTATAGGTGGTGTCGGTGGTTGTTACATAGTAAGCGTACTATATAACATCCACCAACACGTATAGGTGGTGTCAGTGGTTGTTACATAGTAAGCGTACTATATAACATCCACCAACACCTATAGGTGGTGTCAGTGGTTGTTACATAGCTAGCGTACTATATAACATCCACCAACACGTATAGGTGGTGTCGGTGGTTGTGATATAGTAAGCGTACTATATAACATCCACCAACACCTATAGGTGGTGTCAGTGGTTGTTACATAGCTAGCGTACTATATAACATCCACCAATTAACACCTATAGGTGGTGTCAGTGGTTGTTACATAGTAAGCGTACTATATAACATCCACCAACACCTATAGGTGGTGTCGGTGGTTGTTACATAGTAAGCGTACTATATAACATCCACCAACACGTATAGGTGGTGTCAGTGGTTGTTACATAGTAAGCGTACTATATAACATCCACCAACACGTATAGGTGGTGTCAGTAATTGTTACATAGCTAGCGTACTATATAACATCCACCAACACGGATAAGTGGTGTCAGTGGTTGTGATATAGTAAGCGTACTATATGACATCCACCAACACCTATAGGTGGTGTCAGTGGTTGTTACATAGCTAGCGTACTATATAACATCCACCAACACGGATAGGTGGTGTCAGTGGTTGTGATATAGTACGCGTACTATATGACATCCACCAACACCTATAGGTGGTGTCAGTGGTTGTTACATAGCTAGCGTACTATATAACATCCACCAATTAACACCTATAGGTGGTGTCAGTGGTTGTTACATAGTAAGCGTACTATATAACATCCACCAACACCTATAGGTGGTGTCGGTGGTTGTGATATAGTAAGCGTACTATATAACATCCACCAACACCTATAGGTGATGTCGGTGGTTGTTACATAGCTAGCGTACTATAATTATCACAACCACCAACACCTATAGGTGGTGGTTGTGATATAGTGCCCTCTGTTATAATCACATGCCAGCGACAAAATCTTGCAATCGGTTACATGGTTAAAATATAGCACTGGTTCGATTCAATACTAAAATGTGATGGCAGTGATGACACATTTATACACGAGCATGCATGGAGACAGCATGTAACAAAAAAATTTCAAGAGTCATTCGCTTATTATCATTTCTATTTTTTCACGTTCAATCAACAACACATTCCAACATATTCAATAGGTTATTAAGCATAAACCAATCCAGGACTGCTATGTGCAGTCACCCGGCACACACAACATAACAGAAAGGTTAATATCTAACAATTCATTAATTCCTATTGACGACTATGACGTAATATGCCTATAACGTATGATTGTGCTTAATGAAATGGCTTTCTAACGTCAAGTACTACTATTACTACCAAAGAGTGTTACTGTGTTTGATTCGCTACATTTTGCTTTCAAAAGGATCTATAAGAAAGTCTAACACTACATTGTCCTGATAGTTTCGAGTGTCTATTTGAGCCGTGTAGAGCAGAAAACAATATGGCTACGCTAGAGTACAGATGAACAGAAACGAGAGTAATAACGTGAACTATCTAGAAGTGCTAAGACCGCAGTTGGGGGAATTGGTAATGACATCATCAGTGATATTCACCCTCTCCATTTACTGGGGGTTCTTCCTAGACAGGCAAAAATAATAGAATTGTCGTCAAGTTACTAGTTTGGTAGCATTAATATATCTTTACAATAGAACGATTAGAGAAGGTAGTTGATGCATCTTCTACCATATAATTTACTCCTGCCCACTCCTCCCTTCCTTCCTCTTTCTTACGACAATTCACTTCCTCCTTGTCCACACCTCTGCTTTTCCGACTCCTTCCTATATCCTCCTTCTGCCCAATTTTGCTCTCCCTACTGCTCCTGTTATATTATATTATATATTATGGCTTCTCTCCCATTCACTTTTCCTCCCCTTTCTCCCCATTCTGTTGCTCTTCCCACACCTCTGTCATTCTTTTAATCTCCTTCCTCCACGGGAACGTTGAGTTAATAGTGCTGCCCTTCAAAAGCATCTATCGGATTCCTGGATAATCGGTTATTAACAGAGGTTGTGTGGAGACACCGTGACGGCGCGTCCGCCCCGGTTGTGGCGTCTGCACCAGAAGTTCAGCAAACCTGCCTGTAATAGAGCGGACGTGGTTGTGGGGAAAATGCCCCTACTAGGTTAAATGCTTGAGGTTGGTTTACTGCGAACAGAAAATCGTGTTATGGTGGCCTAAGTAACCCTCGTTGCATATCTATAGTCGCCAGGTGGCATAGCTAGTCGCCAGGTGGCGTAGCTAGTCGCCAGGTGGCGTAGCTAGTCGCCAGGTGGCGTATCTAGTTGCCAGGTGGCGTCTTATATAGCTATCGATTCGGCGGCAATCGTTGTTCAGATGGCGGGTGGCTCGCAGACTGACTGAAGCTTGCGAAATATCCAGATTACAAATCTTGGGAGGATTTTGATATCGAGGTTTGTTCGGTCGGGTTACGTCGAACAGAAAATCAACTATGCGGCGCCATCGCCTACGTGCATCTGTTACTATGTAGGTCTCACACACACACGATTGAATGCAGGCTTACTGTCTGTGTTTTTCTCCCCTGTCAACCAGCGTTCCGTGACACGCCCACACACCCCAGTACGTCTACTGCTACCACCGCATTGGTACCTCGGTCACCGGTGGTATTGCTACCACCTCGGGTGTTAACATCCAATCAGCAACCAGGAACCCCGCTGTCAGAAACATCACAAATACTTCTTACACTAACCAAAGTCTAAAGCCACCAGGAACTTCCGCACACGTGTGAAAAGGCGATGGCGTTTTAGACTTACGGGTGTCGTAACTATTTACGATGCTTCTGGCAACATACCCACTCCCCTTGTTCTACGTGCTGCCAACATATATGCCAGGAGCCCGTTAATTGTCAGAAACAAAATGGGTCTTAACATTAGTCTTAACATTAACTTTTTCTCTTAGACCGTTGACAGAAACGCTGCGAAGTTACCCAAAGGAAAAATCGTATCAGATTTCCTCACAACAATAATGAAACAAAGTGCTGTCGACGGTCTACGAGAAAATGTTAGTGTTAAGACCAATGTTAAGACTAATTTTGTTTCTGACAACAGGCTCCACGAGCTGGCAGTAGCAGCAGTACGTAGTATCAGGGTAGCTGTACGAGGCAGCAGCAGCAGGACTGCTAGGGTGCTGGCTTCGCGCGTTAGGGTGACAGGGGTTGCAGGGCGCATCGCCACGGGAACGCTCGCTGATGCATGAGAGAGAATCCATCAGAGCCGCATGCAATGCCGCTAGCTGTTGCTGTGAGTGCAAAGTGAGTGGAGAAAGTAGAGAGAAATAAATATGGGAGGGAAGGAGGGAGTGGGAGATTAGGAGGGGGTAGGGCGAAATAAAGAAGAGACAGAGAGACAAAAAGAAAGAGAGATAGATATAGAGAGGGAGAAGAAGAGAGGGAGGGAGGGATGGAGGGTGAAAGAAAGAGAAAGAGAGAGGGGTAGAGTTATACAGATAGTTTTAGAGCGAGTTAGAGAGATGAGAGGCAGGAAGAGGTGAGATGGTAATGAAGGGAGGACAAGAACGTGGGGTTAGGGGTCAGGGTCAGAGGGCAAGTACCGGCTCCAGGGTCCAGCTCAAGATTGAAGTGTATCGCTTCTCGTTGTCCGATTCATCGTCACCGTCGGCAGCGGCGGCCGTGCTGCCCGCGTCTACCTCTGTCTCCTGACAAAGCAGTAACCCAGTGTGGTCAACGCTGGGGTCAGCTTGGACCACACACTCACCACGGCGGCCTCTGCCAGGTACACGCTGACCACTCTCAGATGATTTCTCGCTTGCAGTAACCCATCGATCAAGAGGTACTTTGGTAGGCAGGTCACATTTCATGTTTAAAGTTTCAAAGTTTCAAATTCAGTTACATTCGCTACAGACTGCAGCAGTCACGGTTACCATGATGGTAGAAACAGACCAGGCCAAAAAAGGTGTTTCGTGTATCGGTGTTGGTAATTTTTTCTTGCTCGGCGGTGTTACAGTAAACAAGAAATCAGCAAAGGTTGGCTTACAGTGAGCATTTCTCCTAAATGCGTAGCAGACGCAAGACTCTGTGCTGAGATTTTCACCTAAAGATTACTTTGAAATGCCACGAAATTTATTACAAAAAATAAATACCTTGAATGCTTGTGAACAATCCCTACAATAAAGTCCCCACAAAAGAAAAATAAACTCGACGTAATAGTTTCGAGAAATAAAATCGAAAATAAAACTTAGAGAGATTCTTCAAAGTACAACAGCAAGCTAGTCGTCATGACGACCACTCAGCACAACAATCATTCAGCGTTCACAAGCAAACGAGTTAATAGATGGTGCCACCATCAATAGAAACACGAAGAGATGACACTGCGCACGAAAGCGGCAGGCGGTTATAACATAGACAAGATAACGCCATTCGGATCTGCAGACAGGCAGGTGGATGAGTCACGCTCGTCAGGTTTCGACGACAGGTGGTGCTAATCGGAGCAGCGTACAGCGCATACAGGAACGTGCTACACTTACGGGGTTGCAGTAAAAGATGGCCCCTATACGACCCTACCCCCGCAACGCCCATTCCCACGCTGTTAACCACTGCTGCACGCACGCACGCACGCACGCGCGCGCATGCACGCACGCACGCACACACACACACACACACAAGCTGTGCCAACACAACAGTCACGTCCCGGCGAACGTGACACACAAATCGTCACATGCACACGAGA